GAAGTTGTAAACATAATGAATAAGGAAACGTTAGAGAGAAGATTGAACAATTTTTAATGCTTTCAATCAAATGGGTTTAAATGTTGTCTTTACTACCTGTGGTATAGAACTCTGTATACTCGGTCACGTTCTGTAGCGTTAGATAGGGATGAACTCGTGATGCTTCAAGTCATGTTCACTATAAGCAAAATGAAAACGGATTAAGCAAAATAAGAGTCCTATACTTTAACTTCTACAATTAGAGTAGAAGAGCTTTTTTCGGAAGTTGCAAGTACTGGCTCTTATTGAGCATGGCATAGCATATTATGTGCGCTTCCCCCTAATTTCTTCACCTACTCCAATGAATACTTTTTCAGAAAACTCAGTTTTTTATTATTTTTTCAGATATAATAATGAGTGTGTAATATATAAGAGTTTATCCTTGTGAACGAATGTGATAGAAGGTTTATTTATTCACAGCACAAGCAGTTGCAAGCTTTAATCCAAATATAAAACCTTGCTGTACATTATGTGTATTATGTAAAGAGCTTCGATATCTGATCAAAGACTAGACTTTAAAAACTTTTCGCGCACTGTCTACTTCAAGTCAGTTCTTGAGCTACGAAATAATGGCTTTTTACAGCATGGCCTTTGGCACTATATCAAAGCGTTGATCATCTCGTTATTTTTATACTTTTGAAGTTCGACTTGCATCGAAAAGCCTAAAGTACATAACGAGTGTAGACATCAGTTCTTGCAAAAGCATTCTCTCCTGCTCATGCCCGACCTCGTTCCAGAGTGGAGTCAAGTCAGGATGGGTCAAGTTTTCGAATACGTACTTACTATTTTTTCTATTGAAATTATGTATTGAAGCTGAGCAGTCCAAAATACGCGACTTACATTTTCTGGCCACGGCATTGATGAAAGGTACCAAATATTTTAACTCAGTATGAAGAACTAATAATGCGAATGCCAGTAATGCGAAATCGTTGTAGGCAAAACTTCCTACCGTTATTGGGGAAAAATTTTGACTTTATTATTTTTCTCTACAGAGCTTTGAAAATGATGAATTTTGAACCATCATTAGACAACATATTATCATTACTTCCCACGGCTGTAGAAACCGCTCGACTAGAAGTTATTCCTCGCCACTTTCCT